AAAAAAAAAAAAAAAAAGTAGAAATGCTCTTGGGGGATACTGAACAAGAGCAGCCTCAGCCTCGTCTTGGGGGTGGGTCTGTGCTTTAGTCCTGAGCAGAGAGACATTGAAGACGGGGACCTAAGTCCCCACCAGGTGGAAAGTGTATGTAGCTTATAGGAGGCTTTGAGGAAGAACAGGTCAGAAATTGTTTAGCAGAGACCACAGAATTGATGTTTATAGTGAGACTTCTGTATCTCATTTTTGGGCTCTAACTGAAAAACTCAGTTTAAAATAATTAAGTTACATGGGACCCTCAAGTGAAATTGAATTCAGCTGGTTGACTTATACCCAGAAATTGAAAATTCTGTTTGGTTCATGGATTGTGTGATTTCTTTTTGTCTGAATGAATGGAAATTGTCTCACTGTATACATTATACCAATGGATCACAACTTTTTTACAGTTGGAAGAAAGCTAGTGACTTTCTGCTTTGTTTCCCACAGCGGGACAACCCTAGGACAGTTTCCACTGGGACAGATCCAGCTGACAATCCGGCACAGCTCACAGAGAAACAAGCTCATTGTGGTCGTGCACTCCTGCAGGTAGGCGTCCTGGGTCGCCATGCCCCCACTCCCTCAGTCGTTGCTGCTGAGTTTAAACATTAAATAGGACAACATAAACACCAATCTCTAGGACTACCAAGCCTCTAGGATTACCTCTAGGACACAAGCACTCATCTCTAGGATTCTACAGCAATTGGGCCTGCTCTAAATGGTGCCGGTCAGGGACGTCCCTATAGTTACGGGCTTCATAGCAATGCAACTATGCATGGTACATAGACAGTGGTCCCATGTGATTATAATACTGTATTTCTACTGTACTCCTTTTCTGTGTTTAGATATACAAATATTTACCCTTGTGTTATATTTTCCTACGTATTCATACAGTAACAGGCTGTACACGTTTGCAGCCTAGGAGCAATAAGCTGTGCCACGAAGCCTAGGTGTGTAGTAGGCTCTGCTGTCCAGGTTTGGGTATGTATACTCTAGGATGTTCATACAATGACACAGTGATGCACAGCAACACACTTATCGGCCATATCCCTATTGCTCTGTGACACATGAGTGTGTTCTTAATTGTTCTGGGTTTTTTAGTACTGTACAAAATGTAAAGATCTCTCCCCAGTGAGTGTGTATACCAAAAGCATAAAACGAATGCATTTTGTACATGCGAAGTATTCCTGATTTTGGATTTGGGAGAATTAGCTTTATCACGTGGCATTTTGTGGGTAGAGAGGGCTGAGGGAAGAATCTCTTTTATTGGTTGATTTACATTAGCTTACCATTTTCTCTCTCAAAAAAAGAAATGAACAAACTGGAAAATTGTTTTACTTTTATTGATATGCTTTAGTTAGGGTTTTTGGAACATAGAAGAATGTATTTTAAAAAGCTCCAAGCTGTTGCAGAAAGTAAAGATTTGCCAGCATCCCTAGGCTACATGGTAGACCCTGTTGCTCCTAGACTGTAAGCCCATCCAGCATGTTTTTTTTTTTTTTGGAGTTGGAGTCTCACTCTGTTGCCCACACTGGAGTGCAATGGCCGCTCCTGGCCACCGCAACCTCAACTTGCTGGTCTCCGGCGATCCTTCCGCCTCAGCCTCCCAAGTAGCTGGAATTACAGGCATGCGCTACCACGCCCGGCTAATTTTTTTGATTTATTGCAGAGATGAGGTCTCGCCAAGTTACCCAGGCAGGTCTCAAACCCGCAGGCTCAGGCAATCCACTCACCTCAGCCTCCCAAAGCGCAGGATTACAGGCTGAACCACCGAGCCCGGCTAGGATTTAAATTTTCAAGAGTAGTTTTATCAGTTTAAAAGATGGAAAAAGTTTATAGGCTCCTGACAAGTGTTGCCGTAGTCTTAAAAAGGGTTTACCAGTTGCAGCCTTGACCTGCCGGGCTCCAGTGATCCTTCCACCTCAGCCTTCCAAGTAGCCGGAATTACAGGCATGCGCTACCACGCCTGGCTGATTTTTTGATTTACTGTAGAGATGAGGTCTCGCTGCCCAGGCGGGTCTCGAACCCACGGGCTCAGGCAATCCACTCACCTCAGCTTCCCAAAGGCACGGGGTTACAGGCTGAGCCACCGAGCCCGGCTGCATTATACTTTTTTAGTAAGTGTAAAGTGAGATGACAGTGTGGCTTTAATTTGTATTTGATTAATGATGATGGTGTGGGCTTATTAGTTATTTTCCATTTATGTAATTGTCCTGGTAGTAGTTTAAAATGTGATGTAAAAATTTTGAGTGTATAAAAAGCTGTTGGAAACATAGGCAAATAAAATTAGTGACATTTAGAAATAATATAATATAAATTGGAGAGTTTAATTCAGTAATTACCAAGAATATTATATATTCTTGCTACTAAGATAATTACTATGACAGGATTGATGTAATCTGAGCACTGGCTCAAAAAAAAAAGATAATTACTGTGGAAGATATAGGAACAAAAGACTTTTAGAGTAGTCTAATGAAACAAGACCCTAACTACCCTAACTAGATGTTGGGGTCAGTCACTAGGTGAAGAATGTGAAGTAGTTGTATATAACCCCATACTAGACTGTGTCTGTCATAGAAAAAGAATAGCACAGGCTTCATAAAGGAGGCAGGCTCCGGTCTTGGGGGCTGGAGGGTGGTGGAGGGGAATAACCCATACAGGTGCAAAAGTTTACTTGGCCGTAAGACTAACTCATATTTCCTTATTGGGAGAAAACAGTACAAGTGCTGTTTCTTTTTTTTTTTGAGTTGGGGTCTCACTCTGTTGCCCAGACTGGAATGCAGTGGCCGCTCCCGGCCACCGCAGCCTCGACCTGCTGGGGGCTCCGGTGATCCTTCCGTCTCAGCCTTCCAAGTATCTGGAACTACAGGCGTGCGCTACCACGCCCGGCTAATTTTTGATTTATTGTAGAGATGAGGTCTCGCCAAGTTGCCCAGGCGGGTCTCGAACCCGCGGGCTCAGGCAGTCCACTCACCTCAGCCTCCCAAAAGCGCGGGATTACAGGCTGAGCCACCGAGCCCAGCTACAAGTGCTGTTTCAACAGCAATTCTATATTAGAAACAGAGAGCAAGGACTCAGAAAGCCCCCAAACTCTGGGCTCAAGAAATAGAGGCAAAAGTCGCCTCTGGCAAAGGCACTACAAGAGAAGTTTGAGAGAAGCTCTATAAAGCAAATGTGGAGTGAAGGAAAAAATATGTTTTACAGTATCTGGTGTCCTGTTGCTTCTCAGTTTTTAGATAAATATAAAATGAAAACTTAGGCTGGGCATAGTGGCTTAATGTCTTGTAATCCCAGCACTTTGGGAGACTAAGGTGGGAGGATCACTTGAGGACAGGAGTTCAAGACCAGCCTGGGCAACATAGTGAGAGCTTGTCTCTCCAAGAAAATTCTTATTTAAAAAAATCAAAATTTGATAAAGCAAATTTGAATGTGTTTCGAATTCTCATTTTCCTAAAATCTAATATCTGGTCTTCTGTGGTTTGTGTTCTAAGAAATCTCATCGCCTTCTCGGAAGATGGTTCTGATCCATATGTCCGCATGTATTTGTTACCAGACAAGAGGCGATCAGGAAGGAGGAAAACACATGTATCAAAGAAAACATTAAACCCAGTGTTTGATCAAAGGTATGGTATTTTATTCAACTGAGAACAGCCTACCTGGTTGAAGTGACAAGTTAAGAAAGACCTGAGTGATGCCTTTGACTGGCTGAAGCATGTAAGTCAGCTGCTGAGAAGTTCAGTGAATGCACACATTTTAGTGAACATGTACTTGTCAAAATAAATATGTATTTTGAACTTTATGTAGAATTGCCAAAAATGATAAATCCAAGTATGAATAATGTAGATAGGGAGAAAAGTGATTAAATAAAGATCAAATTATTGATGACCCTGAGGAACTCATTTTTAGGGATTACACTGTTGATATTGTATTATAAATAAAACTGGAAATTTAAAGATACACGTATTTAAAATGTATTTTAAAGTAACAGCATCTAAGCCAGGCTCGGTAGCTCAGCCTGTAATCCTGCGCTTTGGGAGGCTGAGGTGAATAGACTTCCTGAGCCCGCGGGTTCAAGACCCGCCTGGACAACTTGGCGAGACCTCATCTCTACAATAAACCAAAAATCAGCCGGGCATGGTAGTGCATGCCTGTAATTCCGGCTACTTGGAAGGCTGAGGCGGAGGGATCGCCTGAGCCCAGCAGGTTGAGGCTGTGGTGGCCAGGAGCGGCCACTGCACTCCAGTCTGGGCAACAGAGTGAGACTCCAACTCAAAAAAAAAAAATAGCATCTATTTTAAAATAACAATAAGCCCATAGCATCTTGAAGTACAACATATTTTCTGTAAAAAACAACTATATTTTCCAAAACCAAAAAAAAAAAAAATTGTGAAAAGAATGGCACTGCAGTTTTAACATTTTTGCAAATCTTTTCAGTGGCCTGGCTTAATAAAGGCTGGAATTCGCTCCTCGGGTCAGTCCAGTGGGGCGACCTCCCAAGAGGATCTTAAGGGACCCCCAGAGGTACTCGGCCTATGTTTTTCTTTGAGTTGGAGTCTCATTCTTTTGCCCAGGTTGGAGTGCAGTGGCGTATACATGACTACTGCAACCTCGATCTGCTGGACTCGGGTGATCATTCTGCCTCAACCTTCCAAGTAGCTGAAACTACAGTTGTGCGCCACCATGCCTGTCTAATTTTTTGATTTATTGTAGAGATGAGGTCTTACCAAGTTGCTTAGGCTGGTCTCGAACCTCTGGACTTAGAGAATCCTCTTGCTTCCACCTCCCAGAGTGATGGGATTGCAGGCATGAGACATTGCACCCAGCCTCAGCCTATATTAAAGAGCCACCAATCAGTACAAATTTGGCATCTTATATTATAGTCCTTTGGTAACTTCAAAATCACCTGCATTTTGGAAAATTATTAATAAAGTTGAATGGTATTGATAGCTGTTAATTTAGTTCATATTTTGTCTTTCAAGATACTCTTCATTTATTGTACTTTGACATCAATAACTTTATTTAAACCAGAGGTCAGAAACTAGAAGGGATGCACCAAATCCTGAGGTGGATGTGTTCCATTAGCAAAATGTTCTTACACGCGGCATTTAAACATTGAGAGACTCCACATGCTGATCTGGGTTTCTCATGCCGCCTTGGGGCAGGCTGGGCAGGCATCTCAGTCAGACAGGAGAGAACTAGTCACTCTGACCTGGCACCCTGCAAGTGTGTGAGTGAGTGTGTAGCATCTGACATGAGCATAAAGAATGCTTTTTTTTTCTCTTCTGTGAAGCTGCAAGGATGAATTTTTTAAATTGGAGATAGCAGGAATAGGGTCTAAAGACTAAACAAGACTAACTGGAAAGCCTGAATGAGTTGACTTTTCTGGAATCGGCGTTTTGTCAACATTAGCCTATGTTGAACCCCCATGAAGAATCAAACATGTGTTCAAAGAACACACCTCACCCACCCATGAGTGATCCACGAATAGTGGTACTCAGACATCTGTCGGATGCCCAGGTCTTCTGATATGTGAAAAATGATTAAAAAAATCTTGAGTTTTGAGTCATTTTTTTTTTTTTTTGAGTTGGAGTCTCATTCTGTTGCCCTGACTGGAGTGCAGTGGCCACTCCCAGCCACCGCAGCCTCGACCTCTCCGGTGATCCTTCCGCCTCAGCCTTCCAAGTAGCTGGAACTATAGGTGCGCGCTACCATGCCCGGCTAATTTTTGATTTATTGTAGAGATGAGGTCTTGCCAAATTGCCCAGGCGTGTCTCAAACCCACGGGCTCAGGTAATCCACTCACCTCAGCCTCCCAAAGGCGCGGGATTACAGGCTGAGCCACCTAGCCTGGCTGGGTTTTGAGTCAAAACATGCCAGATCAAAACATCTGGTAGAAGAACCCAATTTTATAATACAAAACAAACATAATATTTGGGATGATCTCATAAGCAGAAAATGTCATGTTTACTTATAAGGAAATACAACAATTTTTTTTTAGTCAGAGTCTCACTGTGTCACCTAGGTTGGAGTACAGTGCATGGGCACCGCAGCCTCGACCTGCTGGACTCATGCATTCCTTCCACCTCAGCCTTCCAAGTAGCTGGAACTACAGGCATGAGCCACCACACCTGCCTAATTTTGTGATTTATCGTAGAGACGAGGTGTTGCCAAGTTGTCAGTGCTCAGGCAATCTTCTCGCCTTTGCTTCCCAAAGTGCTGGAATTACAGGCGTAAGCCACCATGTCTGGCTGAAAATACAACACAATTATGGAGAAAATTAAGGTTTCCTTTCTCCATTTCAGCTTTGATTTCAGTGTTTCATTACCAGAAGTGCAAAGAAGAACACTAGACGTTGCAGTGAAAAACAGTGGAGGTTTCCTGTCCAAAGACAAAGGGCTTCTTGGCAAAGTAAGTTTTTAAAAAAATCCTTGATTAGTTCCTGTGTTTTGTAAAAATTAAGCACTTACTTAAAATGTGGTTGTTTACACCATATCTATGTAAGTGTACTCTGATAAATGTTTATTGATTGTGACTCTGAAGACAGTCAACTAAGAGATTGGTACATTCTGAAGATACTTTAAGTTATTTTCATTGTTTTAAATACTCAGATTCTTGGCTTATAACTCATTCTAATGCCATAAACTTGTAGAAAAGATTAGTTTAAGTCTACATTTTTGTTCAAGTATTACATTGAAGGAAAATATTATCTTGCAGTTCCACCTCCTCGACTAATCACTCTGCTCTTTTTCTAACAAATCATTGGCTTTATTCCTCTGAATTTTTTCTAGTCTTTTGTCTATATTCACACTTAGCTTATACATGTGATTATATATTCTGTAATAGTGTACATAAAGGTTACGTCAGGGAAGAGGAATTTTAGCAGCAGAGCAGCAGAATACAGATCATCTGCATCGGCTATGCTGTCAATTGCACATTGACTGTTGTCTCTATAAACTGTTTCTACCGATGCTCCATAATAAATGACTTTAAAAACTAGTGATTAACAGGAAGGATCTCTTGGATATAATCAACCATAAAATTTACAGGTGAATCAATAAGGGTAGAAAAGATTGAAAAAATGAGGAACTCAAAAAAAGAGTTCCATATTGCTAGATTAATACAGAAGATTAGAGAGATGAGAAGTGGTGAAAGATCTAAAAGGAATTAGCCTACTTTAACAAACTTCTTTCATTTTTTAAACCCACAGGTGTTAGTTACTCTGGCATCTGAAGAACTCGCCAAAGGCTGGACCCAGTGGTAAGTGTCCTTACCATAGACAGATGTACCAGTAAACAGAGAACCCCAACGTGTTTCTAAAAGCACTTTCCAGGACCCAGTGTGGAGTATCTTCACCAGTAAACAGACATAGAACCTCAATGTGTACCTAAAAACACTTTCCTGCACCCAGTGGGGAGTACCCCCACCACAGACAGTGTTAGAACCTGGCATGTATTTAATAACACCTTCCACACTTGATTTGGTGGTTGTTATCTTCCTGTGCCTTCCCAGGTATGACCTCACAGAAGACGGAGCGAGGCCACAGGTGGTGACGTAGCCACAGGTGGTGACGTAGCCATGCCGGGCACGAAGCTCCTCCTCTGTGTATCTCCCTCAGCTCTCCTTGGAACACATCTTCTCACAGACGTACCAATATTATTTTTATAATTTCATGTATTTAGTTATACATACCTTGAAAGTTTTATATAATTGTTGACATCTTAGGCAAATTTGGCCAATGTTACTGTTAAATTTTATGTATTGAATTTCCTCTAGTATTTCACCAGTTACTCTAGTGTGCAATAGGATGGTAGTTAGTGTGTTCTGTAAGCTCTCTGTCAGTTGTGTCTACTAGGAAACAGATACATGTATATGCTTTATTATTGTTTTGTTTTGTATATCACTGAGGTACACTATGCCATGTAAATAGACTCTATTTTTTATAATATACATGCTGATTTGAATTCAGAAGAAAATAGATCAAGGAAATATATATTTTCTTCTAAAACTTATTAAATTCTTGTGACAAATAATCATTTTCATCTTTGCAGCAAAAAGTTCTCAGTGACTTATTGCGTGGTGTTTCTTTTTAAAAAGGAAAACTGAAAGATTATTAAATACTAGTATATTTCTGCCCATTATGAATGAAAAAATAATCAAAATATTAACATTTTCGTAAATATGAGGATGTCTTATTGAGAAGTAAGTTAAAGGGCTTGTAAGGAAAACTGTTTATAACTGAGTAATCTAAAATACCAAGAGAATTGTCATGGTTCCTAAATCATAATGTACTAATCTGAAATTCCTTACATAAAAATGAAATGTCTTAAGTTTATTTTAATTATTCGTTGTAACTTATTAATGAGATAGTACAGACACACACATTATACTTTTCCTAAAATATAGGAACAGATTTTCAAGTTTAGCAATGAAGCGATTGCAAAATGGTTGGTGATGAGCTTTGTTAATTTTCAGTGTTTTCCCAGCCTATAAAGAAAGAAAGGTACCCATTGTCCTTATAAGGGTTGTGAGATAGATCAGGATGCATAGATAAGACATTATATTAAGAGTTAAAAGCTCGTTCACACACTTATTAGTGTTAAGAGCTAATTATGCAGCACACATAGAAAGTGTCACCTAGTAGCTGGATGCACACAGGCCACCACCATGGCCAGGGGTGCCCGCAGCTGCCAGCACAGCAGCTGTTGTTCTTAAACAACCATTTCCTGGGTTTTCTTACTTGCTGCCATGACTGACCTTAATATCAGGATATTGTTAAATAGTTTTTATTTTAGAATATTTTTTTCTGTTTAGGTTATTAAAAGCATGTTTTGTATACTTAAGAGTTCCCAAACACCCTGTGAGGTGAGACTCTATAGCAGTCATAGGCTCTGTATGTCTATAAACAAAGTGTGCACATATGCAGAAAGATGTTTAAGTGTATAGTATAAGCTGTATGATGAAAATGGCTTCCTAAGCCATGAGAACATTTTAAAACTATGTATACACATATTGGGGGAAAATATAGCTTTGTAATCAAAATTGAAGCTTTTACCTTAACTTCATGGAACTGAACAACTTAAGAATAACTCATGTGACCAAACATACCAAAGTGCCTGTGGCAGATGCTGATTGTTGTTTCTACGCACCCCTCCCTTTAGCACATTTTAATTTTGTCTCACTTTATAACCTACACTTTGAACCATGGGTTTATTTATAATGGAGTTTATAGCTTCACAACACATTTCTTGTAATCATAAAGACCAGTATAATCTCACTGTCTCCTATTTAGTGACACTTAAAAACCTCTATAAACCATTTATATTAGTAGTATACAGGATTATTTGGGGAGGAAGCTTATGAATATGTTGATACATACATGCAAACATTTATGTACACAAACATTTAACTATTTTAGTAGCATAGAAAGACAGGTAATACTTATTAAATCTAGTTGCTTTCCCATGGTTTTAGATTTTTTTGAAGGTTTTTTAAAAATAAGGTCTGTGGAAGGGCTTCTGTTATAATCTATAAAAGAGAAGAAACACTCATTGAAGTTTTAGCATGCCAGTAATTTTTACTAGCATCCTACACAGTTGGGTTTTGCATCCATAAGCTTAATCTATTCAATGTGTGTTTTACTTAATGGATGCTATATTTAGGCAATTAGGCAAAATAGATGCAATTAAAGGTGCAAAGCCCAAAGAAAGTCAGTTTAGCAGCACAATGAGTTGCCCCTTGATGCAGTGAAGTCAGGAGAGCTGTCACCTTTTGGATGCAAGCTTCCCACTTGCAGGGTCTGGGGCCTCCATAGCCCTTTTCATTCTTTGTAAGAGGAAGGGAAGAAGGAGGGTGAATCTGAGGCACTGAAGCACCTTCCAGAGATGTGGGGAAGTCAGGAGCTATCATCAGGGCCACGCTCCTAGCACCCCAGGATCCCAATGGTAGAAAACACTCGAATTCTCAGAATATTGATTTGTTTTTAATACTCTCAGAATATTGATTTGTTTTTAATATTGATTTGTTTTTAATACTCGATTTATCTAGGAAAAGGGAACTTTAATTCTTATACCTTGAGCCAAGCCAATGGAGAGAAAATTAGATACATTTGAAGTGCAGCTCTGTTCCTTGTACATGTGGGTTCTTATCCTGTGCCTTAAAGTAAGAAGGTATTGTTTCCAAGTTTCAGATTAAAACAGAAGAAGCCTTGTAGCTATATTTACCACAATTTAATGCTGTATTATAAGAATTCCTTTTACAGATACTCTTTATCAAGAGGTCAGCTCTTTTTCAAGAACCTAAGCCAAACGCAAATCAGCGTGTAGAGCTGTGCATTTATTCTGTGGTTGCTACATGAATTCTGATTCTGGCTGGTTCACCCGCTGCAAATGGAGAACAGCAGGGCTTTTTAAAAAAATATAGAATGTCCTTTTTGTGCAACTAATTTTACATAACTGTGCATGTATTTATTCAATAAAACTTTTAAGTTATCTTGCTTGTCATTTGTTTTTCCTCTTTCTTTTGAAATGAGTCTTTAGTGTAGGGCCAGATAATTTGAAAAGTAGCTACAGTGTACTCACTGTTTGTATTTGTTCTTTGTGAATCCTTCCATTTTCAGAGCAACTGCATTACAACAGTTGATACTGTTCTTCCTGTTCTCATCTGAGTTTCTCACCTCTGCCTAGCCTATTAGACTTTGCCTTTTGAAAACAGCTCTTCTGTATAACCATGAGTAGAAAAAGTAGATTTTGAATGTGCTTTACAACAGAGCACCAAGAAATGAAATGGGAGTTGCTGAGACTATTGAACATTTGAGCCAACTGAGGGGTGACACTAGAGTATCCATTACTGCTTAATTCACTACAGACAATGGGACTGACTTCAGAGGATCATCATGGCCTAGTCTTGGCCTCTCAGCATTTAACACTGTGTACTTCCTTTCCCTGCTCATGGCCATCTTTCCTTGGCAACACCTTAGGATCTTTCACTGTCTTCTCCTCTAGCCAGACTCTAGGTATTGCAGCAATATGGGTTTTGGCTCTGGTCCCTTTTAATTTTATTCAGCATTCTTAATCCCATGACTTCCAGATATACATCACCAATACAGGCTTTTTCTGAGCTCAGAGCCAGTGCATCTCGCTGTTTCCATGCCCTGTCTACGTGGAGACCTCGAGGTGTGTCTGTCTGTCTCATCTAGAGGCTCGAGCAGAGACCTGGACAGCATCTGCCACCTCCCGCTGCCTTACTCTGCATGTACAGAGACCAGGCCCTTGAGTTCTAACTTGAGAATATACCCACATCAACTCTGTCTCCCCAGTCTAAGCCATTATCCTTCCTACCTGACACAGTCAAATCCCAGTTTCCAAGCTTTCTCCCTTTCTACTTTTCCTCCTCATGCATTTCCTACACGACAACCAGAGGGATCTTTCAAAACATAAATCTTAAATCACCACTGCACTGCTCTCCGTTACTCGTAGAACAAAGGCCAAGAGCATTTCATGACTCACAAAGCCCATGTTTCCTTCCACGATGCCCTCACCTGTCATACTTCAACCATGGAGGCTTCTTCTCGATTCCTCAGCGTCCCCCATCCCATCTCAGCACCTCCACGTGTGCTCTTCCCCTGATGTGGCCCAGCTGGCCCCTCCTCTCCACCTCTCAGCTTAAAGTTGATTTTCTCAGTGTCCAGTAAGCTCTCTCGGCACCATTTACTTTCATTAAGCATATTTAACGTAGTTAGAATTTAGTTTGATTTAAAACTTTACTGCTTGAACTCTAAGCTCCCAAGGGCAGAGATTTATGTGAGTTCTACTTGAACTTTTCTCATGGCTTATGGCATGTCCTTGGTTCCAGGTTGACAAACCAAATACCTGTTGACTACGTGATGTATAAAGTTTGTCATCATTCATTGGTTTGAGTAAGTTTCCATTCAAAGAAAGATACCTATTGGCAGTTTTTAGTGAAGACTAAAGAAGGTACAGATGAGCATGGCAAACAATATGATGGAGACAAAAAGCCAACAACTAATTATCTGATAAACAATTGAAGCACAAAAGCAGGACCAGGAAGTCTGCCTTATTCAGTGTCATTCTCAACTTCCTAGGCAATACAGTATGAAAAGAAAAAGATGGTTAACCAGAAAGTGACTGGTTTATTTAGCCAGCATTAGGGATGTGCCTGGGAAAAAAGTCGCAGGAGTGTTTCGGGCTGGTCCAACAAACAGGCTACTAATCTCCACGAACCAACTGAGAATGAGAGACAGTAAGCTGGAAGAAGGAAATTATAAAACTATAAACCTAGTCAAAACCAGAATAATCTTCATTTGTATAAATGCTTGTATTACAACTAACTTTAAATTGTTGGCTCTGAACAAAAAAACCAGCTAAACCTTCTGAATTATCAATAAAACATTAATGTATTCAAGGTTCTTACTTAGGCAACATCTGATGTTCACAGGCTTTAAAAATGATTAGCCAGGAGATAATAACTGGCCTTATCTAAGATCTCAGTATCATAAGTAATTAAGCAAACTGCTATAAATAAAGTAAATATGAATAAAATAATGCTTATGGATAAGCTTTTCATGTACTTTAAATTTTTTTTAATTGTTTTAAAAGCTCATTAAATGGTTTATTTTCAATCAAGACAAAGTTGTTTTTGTTTTTGAGTTGGGGAGTCTCACTCTGTCACCCAGACTGGAGTGCAGTGGCCGCTCCCGGCCACCGCAGCCTCAACCTGCTGGGCTCCAGCAATCCTTCCGCCTCAGCCTTCCAGTAGCTGGAACTACAGGTGTGCGCTACCACGCCTGGCTAATTTTTCGATTTATTGTAGACATGAGGTCTCGCCAAGTTGCCCAGGCAGGTCTCAAACCCCCGGGGCTCAGGCAATCCACTCAACTCAGCCTCCCAAAGCACGGGATTACAGGCTGAGCCACCGGCCCAGCAAGGAAAAGTTTAATATGGGAAATGTTTCTAACATAAAGGGTCTCATCTATAAGATACTAATATGTAACAGTTTAGAATTTCTTGTTTTCTAGGTTTCACTAGAATTTTAGGTTATTTTATGTAATCCGGGATTATTTAAAAGGTTACTTATGCCGGGCTTGGTGGCTCAGCCTGTAATCCCGCGCCTTTGGGAGGCTGAGGTGAGTGGATTGCCTGAGCCCGTGGGTTCGAGACCCACCTAGGCAGCGAGACCTCATCTCTACAATAAATAAAAAAATCAGCCAGGCGTGGTAGCACATGCCTGTAATTCCAGCTACTTGGAAGGCTGAGGCGGAAGGATCGCCGGAGCCCAGAAGGTGGAGGCTGCGGTGGCCAGAAGCGGCCACTGCACTCCAGTCTGGGCAACAGAGTGAGACTCCAACTCAAAAAAAAAAAAAAAGATTATTTATTTTTTAAGAAATGAAAAAATCAGTAGGTAGGAGAGAGATATATAAAAAGAGTTACAGATATAAAGATATTTTTGGTAAGAAAAGTTATAAAGAAAAAATAATTTTGTGTGTGGAAGAATTTTGTATGATAAAATTTTGTCCTAAAGTAAAATGACTGGTTATTTAGGAAAGAGGGAGATACAGGGCAAAACAGAAAGTCTAAGCATGTCATCAATGGTATGTGGAAATCAGGATAAGGTTCACAAAGGGGAATTTATGAAGAAATCTTGGTATATGATTTAGTTGGTTATAACTTTTTCTCCAGTCCTGTTACGGCTTGAAAAGTTTTTAATTGCTCACAAAACTAAGCTTTAAAAGGATTAAAGTTTTGGGTTGTTTTTTACAGCATTATTTTGTATAGAAAAAGATCTTGTATGGTACATTTTTGTCCTATAATAAAATGGTTGTTTTTTTAAAAAGCATAATGCAAAAATAAAAGGTTCAAGCATGTTTTTTAAAATAGTATTGAAAGAACTTAGACGCCAGTAACAATTCCACACCCGTTAGGGACCAAGAGATTTATTAAAGCGGTGGCTACAGGGAAAAGGAATAGGGTCTGTAGCCGC